TCTGGCTGGTCATCCATCATAAGCTCCAAGAAAGAAATATGCTGATTCAAATGGCTGATTAACTATATAAGAACTTCCGATGCAAACTGTAAGTCATGCTATTTCAATTCAAACATTTCTCCCCAAAAGTGTTAAATAGATGACCAACACAACTGTATTGTTAAAGGAAAAGTATGATATACAGGGGCAAGCCACTATTAATTTTAGGTGCAGAGCATATATTTTAAATTAATAAATTAATATGATTAAATTAATTAAAAATATGATTAAAACGCAACCTGGCATTGTGATGATGTCACAATAAATTGCTTCCTATATATGTATATTATTTAAAAATTTGTATCAGCATTTTGTTGCATTAAATAAATTTCAAAGAAACTTTTAGTTTCAGGAGAAGCTTTTATTTTTATGAGGGTTTCAACACAAGAGGGTTTTTATGTAAGGTTTATTGTTGAAGGGGGTTTTTACATGGTTTTATCCAGGGGATTATTGTCCTGTTACGGTTATGAATGTGCTTATTATATTCAAAAATCTTATTTTTGTGGCGTAGTAAACACTAGTATTGTGTTTTATTCCAAAGACACATGGCAAATTTTCCATCAAATTCCTTTATTAGTTGATATGTACACGCCACAAATATAAAACAGGACACAGTTTCAAAAAGAAAATCAAAAATCTTACTCAACTATAAAGTTAAAAAAAAAAAAAAAACAATAATTTGTCAATTTGTGCTATCACTTCAACAGACTTTGTCAGAATGATTTCTGATGCCAAGGCACAAAAATCAATATTGTAACAATATTTTGGCTGTTGTAGAGATAGAGCACAATATATCAAATGTTAGATTATGTAAATACAGTTAATAGAAATTGGGGCCATTCATTAATTGTAGTTTTTGAGTCATGTTTTTGACCCTGTAAAATATGATTAAAACGCAACCTGGCATTGTGATGATGTCACAATAAATTGCTTCCTATATATGTATATTATTTAAAAATTTGTATCAGCATTTTGTTGCATTAAATAAATTTCAAAGAAACTTTTAGTTTCAGGAGAAGCTTTTATTTTTATGAGGGTTTCAACACAAGAGGGTTTTTATGTAAGGTTTATTGTTGAAGGGGGTTTTTACATGGTTTTATCCAGGGGATTATTGTCCTGTTACGGTTATGAATGTGCTTATTATATTCAAAAATCTTATTTTTGTGGCGTAGTAAACACTAGTATTGTGTTTTATTCCAAAGACACATGGCAAATTTTCCATCAAATTCCTTTATTAGTTGATATGTACACGCCACAAATATAAAACAGGACACAGTTTCAAAAAGAAAATCAAAAATCTTACTCAACTATAAAGTTAAAAAAAAAAAAAAAACAATAATTTGTCAATTTGTGCTATCACTTCAACAGACTTTGTCAGAATGATTTCTGATGCCAAGGCACAAAAATCAATATTGTAACAATATTTTGGCTGTTGTAGAGATAGAGCACAATATATCAAATGTTAGATTATGTAAATACAGTTAATAGAAATTGGGGCCATTCATTAATTGTAGTTTTTGAGTCATGTTTTTGACCCTGTTATGTACAATGATGTACTTTTGGCAAACCTCCTCTTTAATTATGTGTAGTTCATGGACCTGCTGATATTGAAAAAGTGATTTAAAAAGTTCTGAAAATATTTTATAACTGACAGTTTATTGATATGACTAGTAAATAGGAGTATAAAAACAAATTTATAAGCCACTAACACCACTTTGCCTTGACTCCTCTTGTTCTATTGTGTACAACGATGCACTTTTTGTAACCCTTCGTCCCCTTAAACTGTATATGTAATTGATGGCACCTTTGATACACATCATGTGTATGTAAAATGTATATGTCGCAGCCAGATTGTTAATTTAGCTCCTTTACAAAGCATCTAGCTGTTTGATTAAATTGTGTCGTTTTATAAAAAAGCTAGCTAACTTTCAGCCACTTTACAAAGAGGCTAAACCAAATCTCACCAGACTGAATGACATTTCACATTCTACAATATGACTGGCCAAACAATTAGCCATTTTACAACGAGGCATTAGATAAACCGCCAGATTGTCATATTTACCAATTCTTACCATTGAAGTGCCAAAAGACATTCATTGATATGGCATCATCTAGTATGTCTGTTGTGCTAGAAATATTGGATATTACAGCAAATAATAAAAGCATACAAAATTTGTCTGAATATAGTGCGGTTAAAGATAATTTCAATAAACAACTAATGGAGTTCTATGCAAAACAACATGGAAATTTAAACAAACCATGAATTAGAGAAAGAATTTTTGTGGTTATTATTAGACATATCAAACACAGTAAGATGACCATAAATTCCAATGCACAGTGGATGCCTATCGAATATTACTGTGTTCAAAGTATGATGTCATAAATACAGCCAATGAAGATTATCTCATTTTTAAGAAAAAGTTATCTGATAATCCATGTATCATTTCTACTGAACAGTATTTTGATGTATTGAAGGAGATTCATAAATCCTGTAGACATGGTGGTTGTGACAAGATGACAAGATGACACAGTTGAAATATTTGTTTCTTTGTCCTACCTGTGAAACCAAATGTAATTATAACCTACCTAAGAAAAGTATTGTGACTCAACCAATAATTTCTTGACATTTTATGGAAGTGGACAAGTTGATTTAATTGATTTACAGTTAGCACTTGATGGAGAGTATAAATGGCTGTTAAACTAAAAAGATAATGCTACTAAATACTTACATGTTAGACTGCTTCAAGCAAAGCGAACATCTTAAGTAGCTGTAGAACTGTTAAAATTTTTTTTTTATAATTTGAAGTTCCATATATCCTACAGTGACAATGACCAGGAGTTCACTGCAAAAAGCCTCTAAGAATTTATAAATATGTGGCCAGAATGTAAAATTGTGCATGGCAGTCCTTGATATCAACAAATGCATGGTAGTATAGAATGCAATATGCCAAGATGTCAAAAATATGCTTAGATCTTGGATGCATAAAAATAATTCGACAAAGTTGTCAACTGGGTGCTATTTTATGCAATATCCAAAAAATGAATCGTATCATTGAGTCATTAGCAAATCACCTTATTGAGCCTTATTTGATAGTGAGCCTAAAACTGGTTTACAAAGTTCTGATATTCTTGATAGTATTCTTTCATCTATTGAAACAGATGAGGAGCTAGAAAACCTGCCAACAATAATCAAAAAGTTGTAAAAGGATTTAGAAAATATTTAATATAATATTTCACAATGGACATAGTTCAATATTTCACATAGTTCTGATAATTTAATTAATGAAAATACCTTTTCTAACACAATTATCACAAAAAAATAATGAAAATTTATCACCTGATCTAACCTGTCCAGTATGTCAAAATGAAACCATGGAGCTCATCAGTGCAGTTTCTGCTTTAAATCTGATTATGCTATTTGCAGATTGTCTGAAGGAGATGAAGGTTATGGATCAAAGATGATCTGTTTTATATTCGAAACAAACATAATATAAAAAATGAAAGAGAAGTGCATAAAGAGTTAAAGGCGCTGCAGAGATGATGATTAATGACACTGCTAAGAAACTTACCCTAATAAATACAGGAAAAAATATTATTCTTGATTTACCAAAAATAGATCATGATCCTTTAGGTAATAAAAATATTATAGGAAAAATAGTTGATTTCAGAAACAGAGTTTACAAAGTAGGGACTAAATCCAGAATAATTAAAAATTGATTCTGTTATTACAAATTATAGGAGTCATGTAATGATTATAATGATGAAACACCAGAAAGATCAATATCTCTGCAAGAAGCTGTGATTAACCAATCATTATTTGGTGTCAAAGATTTCAAACGTGTTCATGAAAACCTATGAAATATCAGTGTCATATGTCATCAGATGCACATGTTTTTTGAAGAAGTTCTTTACAGATCTAAATGTCAGTCTAGTTTATCTTGGATTAAAAAATAATACATCTATTTGATACGTTTAGTATGCCTATTATTTTGTAACCATTGAAGAAATTTAATAGTTTTAAAGTGTTTTCACATTTTTATAATTTCATTTCGCACTGTTTAATATGTCAAACTACCTATTTTTATTATTTATGTTGTGATTTTACAAAAGTAATTAAACATTAAGAGTACTTTATAGCAATGCATATGTTTAAAGATTTTAAATAACCAACAACAGTTAAGTTAATTAGTTTTTATAAATAATTATATTACTATATTTCTCAAAGAAAGAAGTAATTGCATACTGTACTCTTTTTTATAATTATCATCAAGTTTATAATATATAAGTTTGATTATACAATGTATGTTTTTTTTGTACTTCCTAACATTTTTGTCCCTAATCCTAGTCCTAATCCATAATTCACATTTTAGTAGAGGGTGATTTCTGCCACTTAGTATTGATTCTGCACATTAGTATTGTAACTAATGAATTTGTTGCCAGCCACATTGTGAAACATGATGTAATGACAATCCAGCTGAATGTTAGCTTTATTATAAAATGGCATTGTTTAATCAAATGGCTAGATGCTTTGTAAACCAACTAAATTAACAATCCAGCTACGACATATACATTACACAACATAACTGTATTTCTAGAAAGAATTTCTTTATACTGTCATATTACAAACAAAAACAGTAAAACGAACAATACTATTGATTTTAAACAATGAAATTTAAATGAATTATCTATTAATTAATTAATTTCTTTTATTAAATTTTTAAGAAAATATAAAACCTGTAACCTTCAATATACACAAAGATGATATTGTATATAAAGATGTATATAAACATATATTTAATATACAATTACAGTAATTAAACTTAATTAGAATATTTGGATGCATATTTTAATTATTATACTTGTATATAAATGCCTTTGAAATTGGATTCAATTTAACAATAAGTAAATTGTTAAACTATGTATTATTTAGTACATATCAAATAAATGAAACATTTTATAACCTCTTTAGATCTTCAACTTTTATTCCTCCATTACTTTTGGGTTTGCTCTGTGTTTCAATAATTTTGACCGACGTGCTTGCTTCGGGCACCCTGTCAAATCTCATGCTCGATTCCGAAAAAGGAATGTGGGTGGCTGCTAAGGCCAGTCTGGCCGAAGATCCTGTTTCAAACAAAACGCTTTATAGCACATAATTATACGAATTAGTTAAAAAATAAACTACACTGATATAAATCCAGCAAAATTTAATAAAATAATAACATTTTCAACTGTTTTTCAACAATCATCCTCAGTTACCAAAATATATCGATGTAGTTTATTTTTTAATTTATTCTACTTCCAGTACATATTTGTTATACAAATTATACGAATTACTTCACTTAATTAATTTAATAAAAAATAACGTGATTAATATTGATACAAATTGTCNAAACAATTGCACAAAATCAAACAAAACTTTTTACAAATAAGCCTTAAAATGCTAGCTGTCAAAATACATAATGATAATATGGTTTAGAATGAAAATAGAGGGAAAAATACGACTAATTCATCTAGTGGTAAAAAAAATGAAATTATATATTTATTATATGTCTCTTCAATCCGAATGGTTAACAAACGGTAGACTTTCTTTCAGCACTGAGGTACTGAAAGAAAGACTTTCTTTCAGCACTGAGGCTTTCATGTAATTTACAATAAAGGAATACTTAACCTCAGTGCTGAAAGAAAGTCTATCGTTTGTTAACCATTCGGATTGAAGAGACATATAATAAATATAAGTATTTATCAGCCATTATACAAGATTTTGTGAAGAAAATTTAATGACAAAATGGATAAAAAGAATAGGTTTGGAAATTATACTCATATACAATTGTTATTCATGTGTTTCGTTGGTAATAATGTCATAGTCGATGTCATACAATTTTTATAAAAGATTTTTAAAAAGTGTTACTCAACCATCTGAGAATTACACTGAAGAGGGGCTCATACAAGCCTAAAATGCATATATAATTTACAATAAAGGAATACTTAACCTCAGTGCTGAAAGAAAGTCTACCTTTTGTTAACCATTCGGATTGAAGAGACATATAATAAATATAAGTATTTATCAGCCATTATACAAGATTTTGTGAAAATGAAATTACTTTCCGAACAACCCAATAAAACTATAGTACTTTTTATTTCTTAAGCAGCTACCTTTAGACAAAATAATTAAGTAAATTAATAGTTACACATAACCCAATAAATCTAGAAATTACATATTTGAAATTATGCTGGATGATTGTTTACAATAGTATTAATGCCAAAATTTATAAAAAAAAAAAATACATATAGGGAGATGGGGACAATCCAAGACAATGAGTGAAACTGGAATTGAAATACTGTAAAAAAGTAAGTTCAGGAGCACTGTCATGTTTCATCACAATTCCTATCAGCCATACAGTATTGGTATATATTGTTAAACATGCACATTTTTGTCCATGTTTTGCATGTCTGAAAACTTTTCTTTTTGAAAGATTTTATGCTTTCAGGAAGTGTTTATTAGAAGTGTCACACAAATTTTTTAGATATCTTTATAAATATTGATAATAATGTGTTTTGTGCTATTGTTTTAAACCATATATCAACATTTGGATAGGGCAACATCTCTCTAAAGCTAATTAGAATCAAACATGGCAATTTGGGACAATTGCAGACACCTTCTCAAGACAATCATGAATAGCATTATACTGTGTGGAATTTCTTGGGTTCATGTTTTGATACATTTACTGTACTCAGTTTTTCTTACAATACTCACAATTTTAGGAGTAGATCCTGATCATGGCAATCTATAATTATAGTGATTTAATATCTGAAAATGTTCATTTCCATTTTTTATAAATTGATGAATCTGTCGTATATGAATTTCTAATACGTGTAAGTAAATTACATTTCATTTCTTTATTCCATTTGTTTGCCAAATTTTAGCTATTTTCTAGCTGTTCTGTCATTGCACTGCATCACAGGGAATACTAGACACTCCATACTTAACTAGTACTTTATTTCTGGGGAAAAAAAGGTTCGATTTTTTAATGTCCTACACCTTATGATAGCCAACAGATTGGAGTAAAAATTTATTTAAGCCAACTGGACCTACTATAATTGAACTCATGCCAGGATTATAACCTGCACGAGTAGAGGAAATTTTCATTCTAAAGAAAAAATTGTCATCTTTATTGTAAGAACTTCAGATTTTAAAGTCAGCAACATTGTATGCAGTATAAGTTTTTTTTAGCAGTTTAGTTTTCAATTATTGTTTATTTTTTAGCGGGATTCCAACTGAGGACTGATCTGTTAAGGCCAGGCTTGCAAAAAAAAAATAATAATAATAATTTAAAAAATTCTATGGATTTATTGTTTTCAAAATGAAATTATTAATTTTAAATTAATAGTTAAAAATCTACATTAAAGAATATAGGTCTAATTTAAAACAACAACAACCTTCTTCAATAAATCAGTTTTTATTCAACTAATTATTTTCAAGGAGTATCTTCAGCAGGACCAGGTCAGATGTTGATTTTTCAGGCTTCAGATCAAGTCCCCTTGCTCAGAGGAGCCCTGCACTTTCAAATTTCTAAGAAAATTTGATAATGGAAGTTTTGATATTTCAAAGATGTATTGATGCAGGAAATGTATTTTAATTAAAATTTATACTAATTCTTTGTCTTTGTCCTCTTAATGGTGCAAATTATTATACAATAAATTTTTTTTTTTTTGCAAATATTTTGGGGCCCAATAATAACTTCTCCCAAGGCCCTGCAAAACCTTCAGCTGATCTCGATCTTCAGAATCAAACACTTAACACAATGTAAAAAATAAGAGAACGTCTTATAGTTAAGAGGAAGAGAAGAGACTCATTTCTCAAAAATACTAAAAACTACAAATTGTTTGAAGTGTATTCTTGTTTTAAAATTAAAAAATAAGAAAATAATTGTTTTGTTATGTAAGGAAAAAATAAATATATCATATTTCTATTAGATATTTCCAACGGAATGGAAATATGTAATAGAAATATTGTATGGAAGACTTTCTTATACATGGAAATATGTGATAGAAAAGGAAATGGGAATTAAAAACCCTTAAACTTGTGGCCGTTGTATTTTAACTGGTTTAATGTATATTTTTGTTATATTAGTTTATTTTTACATTTGTTTAATTATATATTATGTTAGTATTTTGTTAAATATTTAGTATTTTACTTTTTACTTTTTAGTGCTATGTATAAAGTTTAAAATTTTTTTTAAATTTAAAGAGTGTTCGAAAAGCTTTGTGTTCGATTGTAGGACAAATTCCTGAGGATGTCCTATTAGAAATAGGCTGAAAGCGTTTGATTATTAAATTAATAGTAAGCTCAGCAAGTGTTTGGTGTTTGATTATATTTGTAAGTAAACAGCTGAGGAAGTGAGGATAATAAATATATCATAATATGTAGTAGAGTCAAAAACAAACTGAACTTCCTGCTAGGGGAGTCAAAAGATGTTGCTGGACAGGGAAAAATTTACATGGATTCCAAGTAAATAAATGATTTGAAATTTTATTTTGAGTTTTTTTAATGGATATATTTCTTTTTTACAAAATAAAGAACAATAGTTATTGTTAGACATTTTTATATTTCAATAGCATGTAAAAAATCAAATTATGGGATGATGTCCTGGACCTTATGAATCTGTGGCCCAGGAAATTTTACCCCATCATTCTCTTCCTCCCTCTCGTAGCCTTGCTTCCAGCACAAATTTTATTATTCAACACACTTTTAAAAATAAGTTTCCTCTGCTGGCATGCATAACACTTGTCAAAAGCAGTCCTAAAAGCTATTTTTTTTTTTTTTGCACTGTCTTTGTGTTTTCATCTCTGCTGTTTTCTACTTCTATTACTGATTGAAGCCTGCAGTCCTTCAATTTCTCCTTCATTTTAGGGAATAGATAAAACTTTGGATGCCAAGATCAAGGGATAAGAAGTTTGAGAAAGCACTGTTATGCCATCTTGGGTCAGATATTTATTAACCAGAAATAGTTTCCATTTGGCATTCCACACTTGGTAGTTTCCATCACATCTGATTTCTCCAAATGCAATGGAAGCTGAAGTGATGAAAGCCTTTAAAGACATTAAAGAAAGTCTTCCATACAATATTATTAGCAGAAATGTGTAGCTGCAGGACGGGTTTACTTTGAAGAAAGTCTTCTGTAAATGCTTGTATTATTAACGTACTAAAAGCTTTATTAAAAGTTGTGTATTTTTGACTATTACATACAGTATACAAATTCCTCAGAGTGGCAGATTGATCCCTTTATTGGCTCAACTATTCAGCTGTCTCAGAATATCTATGTGGTGTTATACACAAATGTATATAATTCATTAAAGAATCTCTCAATATATACAATATTTGTTTTACTGTGATTACACATTTATAATAATTTTTTTATGTACTCCATATAATTAATATAGTTATAATAATGTTTTTAAAAAAAGGAGATGAAATATAATTAATGAGTCATTATAAAATAAATCAATTGCTATTGCTTTAAAAGTTGATAAAATGCAGATAAAAATTCTACAAACAAAATATTTTAAAAGAGTTCAGAAATTGAGAAGAATACATTATAATGATTTTATGTCATTATTTGATCATATAATATGATTATTTTTGAAATTGTATTTTATAATCAAATCAAAGATAAAGGCTATATCATTACTAGTTAAATCATATGAAATAAATATACCATTTTGGTAACAGCATTTAGGTTTTGCAAAGTTTCTAACTTCCAATGTAAAACCTCCAAATGTAATTACACTTCTACAATTCAAGAAAGCATATCAATTTTTAACAAATTCACAACAACCTACTTTATTGGAATTGTAAAAAAAATATAACACTTTCCCAATTACTTTCAGATGAATAAAATCTATCTTCAGAGGTAGTTGCAACTATAAAACAGTTCCTAAAACAAAAATTTAAAGCTTTTGAACACATTCTAGGCAAATGCCATAGAAAGATGGCCTATTTGCTTCTCAGAAATGGCAGTGGCACACATTATGTGTTTGAAACTTGAGTTTTTCTTTGAAGATGAAGTTTATCAGTCTGAAAGTACTTGGGGAAAGTATTATGTTTGTAGTTCCAACAAAGT